TGCAGAGTGGAGACCCAAAACCCATCTGTAGACAATTGGCTAGCTATCCCCTCACAGAGGGATCACGAAGAAGAGATGAGCCAGTCAGGGTGCAGCGTAGCACCAATGAAACATACAGCTTTCCTCTAGTTCTTTAATGCTTCCTCCTCACCCATAACCACAACTATCATGACCTCAATTTTACCTTACAAATCTGACTAGACCAGAACATGTACACTGCTACAGATAAGAGCCTGCAACACACGGAATCCAGGAGAGATAAAGCCCTCAGGACCAATAATGAGAATAGAGATACCAGGAGGGTAAGGGGAAGGTAGGGGAAGAAAAGGGGAATCGATCACAAGGCTCTACATATAACCCCCTCCCAGGAGGATGGACAACAGAAAAGTGGGTGAAGGGAGATGTCAGTGTAAGATATGACAAAATAAAAATAATTTCTAAATTATCAAGGGTTCATGAGGAAGGGAGGGTGGGGGAAGGAGGGGAAAAAATGAGGAGCTGATGCCAAGGGCTTGGCAGAAAATGTACAAATGTGCTTGACACAGTGGATGAATGTATGGATTGATAAGAACTATAAGAGTCCCCAATAAAAGTATTTAATACAAAATAAAATAAATATCAACGTTTCAAATCATACTACTAAAAATAAGACATAAAACCCAAAGCTTTTATCATCAATTGAGGTAGTCAGTTTATTGTGCCAACCTGGCTGATAAACACATGGGGTTAATTGAAAGGTGGAGAGATAAATGGCTTGGTGATCCTCGCCTTTCTAGTTCTCAGGTCTCTTGATTTCTGATGGTCGGACCAGGGTGCAGCTGCCTTAGCCAGTTCCCTGCTTCAGCTGGCAAGGCTCAGTTCCTGCAAGACATCCCTGAGGAGAAGCCACATGGATCTACCCCAATGCAGTCCAGGGTGCTGGAGCAGCCATGTAGAGACCCCTGCACTGAGATGCTTACACATTCACTGACTCGGTTTTCCTCCTGCAGTCGGCATCACTGCGTGTGTTTTGTGAGATGGAGGAGGACTTTGTGGATTGGTGTCAGACTTATGGGCTAATGTTGGACTTGTGGGCTTGGGTGGCACTGGGTTGGGATGTTTTCTTGATATGCATTTAACCTTTATATAAAACTCTCTCTTATACATATGAGTTTCTGTGGATTTGTTTCTCTAATGTACCCAGTCTAACACATCAGTAGTCCAGGGGATCAATAGTCCAGGTCTCACTTGTCCCTGTTTCAGCCCAAGACAGAGACCAGGTTGATTCGAGAAACTCTAAGTTTATTTCTACACACGCCAAACAGAAGGAAAGCGTGGGGTGCTCAACCTCCGAACTGCTTCAAAAATGCACTGAAAATCAAGCAAGCCACACAGCCTATACCGTGTGACCCAAAGCAGACCCCACAGTGTACTGAAAGCAGCAACATTTCCCAGCAGCAATCTACGTTTCTCCAGGGGATGTCAGACTTCCATTCCTGGAGGGCTCAGGCTCCATGGTTGATCCTCCTTCCTGAGTCAGAAGATCCCTACGGATTCCATTTCAAAGGTGTTTGTTACTGCAAGAGAGGGGGCTGTTACAGTTTGTGCTTTTCAAACAACTTATTCTTAAATTGTTATATTTCTTTATTATTATTATTATTATTTTATTATTCAAACAAGCTCCATTTGTATTTATTTAGCTTTCTGACTCTGTGCTTGTGCCTTCAACACGTTCACAACGATTTTCTGCTCCTCCATAAGGAAAGCACGCTTGGTCCTGTCTCGGACACACTTAGCGCACATGGACCCACCATAAGCCCTGCTGACATTTTTTTTGGTTTTGGACAACCTCATGAGAACTCTGGGTCTCACAGCACGGACCCCTCAAAGTCGGCCTGGGCACACACCGCATGCAGATTTTGGCGCTTTCCCAACTGTTTTTTGTATACAAGTAAACAATTCTGTTACCAGGGGTTCGGGACAGCCTAGCTTTGTTAGAGGCTGTATTGTAGGACAGCCTACGCCGGTAGGTCAGACGCTGAACCGTTTTGAATGCCTGCACACAGCGTCTCCGGAAGAGGAACTGTATTTCTAGTATGTGGATTAACAGGGGGCTAGCTCTCCCGTCTCCTCCATCTGGAGCGCTACTATGCGGCGCTCAGGGACGCTGGTCACAGCTCTGGTGGTCTGAGGCCGAGAGGCTGAGAGTGGGTCCTGAGGAAGGGCTTGGGGGAGGGAGCCACTCTCTCTGCCCAGGGGTGTGCGCTGCCTCCTCGCTGCAAAACAGACTTCCCCTTTCCGCCTCTTCTTTGCTTTTTGGTCAAAGCGGAAGAACCCTTTCAGATGTCTTTAGGTTCTCGAAAACTGACCCTTTGGGAAAGCGACGCAGCATTATAGAGTGAACTTTCTTTTTTAAAATTTTTTTTATTTTAATCATTTTATTAGGGGCTCCTACAACTCTTATCACGATCCATCCATACATCAATTGCGTAAAGCGCATTTGTACATTCATTGCCCTCATCACATAGAGTGAACTTTCAACAAGAAATGGGGACACCTGTGTTTTAAAGGCTTTGTAGACAAGCGGAAAGGGACAACCTCCTCTTTCAGTCGTCCACTAGATCGCCCGGCATAGTGTCGATGGACCCACCTAGTCTCCAAATACTGACCGGGTGCCTGGTGCCACAGAGGAGACCAGGGCAGCCTTGGCCCTTTACACTCGTAGTCTGCTGCAGCAACAACAAACACCCAGTCACAACCTGACAAGGACCACACTACTTGGAGGTGGGGTGCACACGCGTGGAGACCCCTGACCCACCCTCAGCAGAGAAGCACAGACTCAGGACTCACAGACTCAACAGGATAGAATGGCCCCCGTGGGTTTCCAAGACTACGCCTTCTCACAGGAGTAGAAAGCCTAGCCTTTGCCCTGATGAACAGGGAGTGGTTTTGAACTGCTGACCTCCGGGCTAACAGCCCAACTCATAACCACTGTACTACCAGGGACGAGAGGCAGGGAGGCCTCCCTAAAAGAGCCACATGTCTCCACCAGTGTCCAGCCACCATCCCCTTTGCCCAGAGGACTTGTTCTATTTGAGGTTTGTGCTTATGTGCTGTTGTGATGCTGGGATGCCCTCGATATTTCAATGGCCGGCCAGGTGATCCACGGTGACCCTGCTTGTAGCAGAGCTTCCAGACTGAGACAGGCTGAGAGGAAGAAGGCTTCTGGGGGAAAAAAATTGGTCGGTGGAGATCCTATGAAGATTAGAAGAACGTGGTCTGACAGTGCCAGCAGATGAATGGCTCTGTGTGGAAGGGCATTCAAAATACAACTTGAGCAGTGCTGCCACCTCAACGCAGCCGAGTCGGCCCCAAGGAGCAGAGCTTTCAGGATCTCCCTTTGTCAACGTGATGTGACTCAAGCGGAGGAGAAACCGCTGCCAACGCTGCCAGTAATCAGAAAGTGGAGTGAGCAGAAGATGAGTCTCAGGAAAATGGAGTGCCGCGAGGACTACCAAGCTGAAATGGACCCCACTGGCCATTCTGAATCAGACAACCAGGTGGCGTACGATTCCAGAAAGGACACGTGTAAGAGGAACAGTGTGACATTCTTCATCAAGAACAGCATTTCAAGATACAGCCTGGAGCACCACGCGCTTAGTGACAGGATAACGTTTGTAAGCCACAAGGCAGACTAATTCACACTGTTATTCAAATTTACCCACCAGCCACTAAAGCCAATGATGAAGAAACTGAGTCTCCTAACTTAGTCATCCTGAAATGAATCAAACATGCAACCAGGATGTATGGGTAATTACTGGTGATCGTCATGTGAAAACTGGGGAAACAAGAAATTCGGTCATTCATTGGAAAATATGATCTTGGAGATGATGTGACTTTGAAAGACCCACAACTTCTTAATTACAAATACATACTTTCTTTTTCAGCAACACAGATGTTGGCTACACACATGGGCCTCACCAGATGGATGACGGAGGAGTCAAACGAACTACTTTTGTGGGAAAAGACGATGGAGAAGTTTGATATTATCAGTCAGAATAAGGCCAGACCCACAGGATCAGTGGCCCACCTATAAGTTCATGATGAAGCTGTAGAGAATTCAAGTTAAAGTGGGTCCTTGAAAATGACAAATAGTTCATGAATTTAGGGGCCACCTCTAGATTTGACCACCCTATACCACTGACCCAAGACCAGAGGAGTTGTAGAATGACACCCAAGAAAACGTACTCTCTCATAAAAGTCCTGGGAATGGGTGGGAGCAAAGTCATCCCAAACCATGATGATCATTTCTAATAGCTGCATACTTCACAGATCATGCATTTCAATAGTCTAGTCACATTAAAAGGCTGTCCAAGCATCACTGCCATCCGTTCCAGAACCTCTTCTTCTGCACTGGACTCCCAGCACCCCTGCAGATCCCAGGACTCACCTGCCTGAAGGAGCTCAGCTTTCATCTCATTATCGGCTCCCCCTTTCCCTCCGCCCTGGCGTATTTCATCACCCCCTGTGTTGGCATCCTCCTATCCATCCTCTGCTACCTGAGCCTGCCCCACCTGGTGAGTCGCTCCGCCCTGGCAACCTTGTTCAGAGCATCTCAGACAGTGCCTTGAATTCTGGGGCCCCAAGAGAGGTCAGGGGAGACAGAGGGGACCGACCCAGCCCTGGCCCCCAAAGGAGTAGGCCACTGAGGAGTCCCAGCCTCTAAGCCAACAGTGTGGGGTGGGTTCCAGGCAGGGGCACCAGGATGCTTCCTCTTGCAGGAGTTTGCCCACTTCTACCTGGCCAAGAAGCCGTTGCAGGACCAGCCTCGCCTCCCCGGCACCCAGCCTTTGCAGCTGCGCCCCACCGCTCCCGGGAAGCCTCCCACGCGGCCCCGCGGGCCAGGCCGCTGGCACAGTGACCGGAAGGGTGTGCTGCAGACACCCCCACCCCCACCCCGAGGCACCTGGGCCCCTCCTAAGCCTCCCTGGGGGCTCGCTGGGCGCAGCCTCCTGGACAGCATGCTAGGGGGTCGGGCCCGCTCCAGCGGCGCCCTGGCGGAGGCCGAGCCCCAACACGAACGGCGGCGGGGTGAGGGCGCCCCGGCACTGTTGTACGCGAAC